GGATTTATTTAGTGTACCTAATGTCGCGGTCAGTGAGCTAGTAAAGACTGCCCTTAGGGGAAGCAAAGAAAGGCGCATGTGTCCTTTTATTGTGAAACCAAATAATCGGAAAACGTTTGCTTTTGGCTGACTTGACACCACGCTCTTTCTCTCTTCCCCTCTCCGCGTGCGCGGGTGTGTTTGAGCGGCTATGCGTGCGTGTGCGCGTATTTGACTGCGCTCGCTTCCTACGCCGTCGCCCATGCTTGCCCAGTCTTCTGCTGCACATCCACGGCGGAGCTTGACGCCGAGGAGGCGGACGGACAGGAGTTACACCTCGGCCAGCGGTGCCTGGTGGAGGTGCGGTGGCGGCAGTGGTCGGGGCCAGCGGACGACCCTCCTCGCCCTTCCTAAAATTGAGGACTCATCTTGTCCTGGAGTAGTTTTTTTTTCTTTTTTAAATTATAATATTTTTTTCTTGCTTGTTGTTGGGTTCAGCGCACTTTTCTCCGCGGCTCCTCTCTCAGTTTGCGCTCAGTATCCGAAATGGAAGATGGTCCGTCTTCGACAAGCTGTTTCAGAAGGTTAACGGACTGCTTCCTGGGTGCAAGTAGGTACACTTATTTTTAAGACATAGCAAATTATAAAGATGATGTCCAAGACTTAGAGCGTATTGCGCGCGGCAGCAATTCCGTGCGAACGTCTCGACATTTTGGCGTCTTGTCTCCTCATGTGAGGCTACTTAAGTTTATGAATGACACATTGATGGCTCCTTCCACGGGTGTGGAGTTGGAAGCAACACGATTCGCTGCTTGTATAGCGTGTGCGGTCCGGTTTAAAACAGCGTGTTGGTTGCGAGTCACGCCGAGGACCGTAAAAATAACCAAACAGCATAACTAACAAGAAATTCGAAATAACGTTTTATTCCCGTTTAAATATTAGAGTTGCAGTCCATTTATGGAAATGCGTTAATTACCACATTTCATGTACAGTATTGTAAGAAATGTTGCAAATCAATTCAGAGGCGGCTCACGACCCCCAAGGGAACCTAAGCAAAATAAAATTTGGGGGCCAAGGCAATAATAATTATTGTTGAACATCTAACGTAAGGTTAGTGCAGAAGTGTTACACTTCAAAAGCGAACTGGGATTGATTTACACAACATTGTAAATGTTAAAGCACCAAATGGGACAGTGAATAAAGAACAACTAAAAGAAATAAAAAGGCTCCTGTATATGCATTTACAGTCGTGTAAATCTATCATCTGGTTTATTATTTTTGGTTTAAAAAAACTGCAACAAGCGACAATATTCTGTAGTGCGAGCACAACAATAAAGGCAAGCAAAAGGTGAAATTCCTTACATGTATGAAATACCTAAAATACAAATTAAAAAAAGTCATGAAATGTCAATCAAATAACTAAATAATTATGTAACCGAAGAGAGGTATAAAGTAGGGGACAAAAAGGAGACAAAAATGCTTTAAAAAAAGAAAAATAACATAAAATATACAAAAGCTTTATTTGTAAAAAATAAAAAAATTGAGGAAAGTATACCTTGATCCAAACATTTAACATTCTTAACATTTTTTAATCCCTCAATGCTCTTGACTATTGATTATTCTTGAGTGGTCACTGAGCCCAATAATCAGGTGCTTAATGTTCCTTGTATAAAGTCATCTAACCTTTTATATGGGATTACCAAATAAAATAACTATGAATATATTCTCAAACTACCCCAAAATGTAACATGAAAACTGTTCCCTTGTAAAATTAATGCCACATGGATATTATCTTGTCGATCTCTTTTACGCCTCTGAAAAGTCACCAGTTTCCCCCCCTCATATACACTCACATCTCCTCACAGAGATTCTCGGACTGAAGTACACTGTGTTGATCTCCTCCTATGTGTCACTTTGCAGTACAGTCTGCTGCAAGGACAACATTGTGTTTGATAGCATTTGCGATTAACTTGCACACATTCTAGCACGCCACATGAGATATTCAGAGAGTCGGGTTACCTTTAGGGAATGTGCATTTCTTGGAATGTCACTGATGGTAAAGCACACAAACTAAAATATGCTTGTTTGGGTATTAATTTCACTTTTTTTTCCACGATGGCTTGTTTTATTTTATCATGTTATCAGGTGTTCGATCGTTGTACTATAATCAGTGTCGAAGTTCTTTTGGTAGAGATATATTTTTGTTTCCAAATGTTTTGCACAAATAATGTCTTCTGAAAAGAGCTTTGAATAAGACGAGCAAATTAAGAAAATACACCTTCTTCATGACAAGAAAACCTTTTTTTAGTTTTTATTTTTTGATGAAGTGTGACATCAAAACCAGTCATTGGTTCTGTAATGCCTGCCTTGTAATGATTTGCGACTGGTCAGATCCCAAAGCAGGCAGAGCATAGAGGAAGTTTTTTTTTTAATAAAGGTTTTGACAGATGGGTAGATTTGGTATGTTCATACACACACCAAAATAAATAAATAACCCCAGTAACGCAAGGCTCAGGAGAAGATTACAAAATTAAAAAGTGACCACGTCCCCCTCACAGTGTAGAGGTCGTAGGTTCGAATAGGGCGCTGGTCTTCCCGCGTGGAGTTTGTGTGTCGCCTGCTTGGATTTTCTTCGGGTACTCCAGTTTCCTCCCACATTCCAAAAACATGCACGGTGGGTTAATTGATGGCTTTAAATTGTTCTTAAGGGGTGAGTGTGAGTGTGAATGGGTGTCTGTCTCTGTGTGCCCTGAGATTGGCTGTCAACCAGTTCAGGGTGTACCCTGCCTATACTGCCCAAAGTCAGCTGGGCTAGGCTCCAGCACACCCGTGACCCTGTCTGGATGAGATTTTTTCTTCTTACTATATATATATATATATATATATATATATATATATATATATCCTCGTCTCACCTTGGGTAGTGTCCATCCCCCATTCAGAGGCCAGGAAGCTTGAGGGTTCTG